GTCGCTGTCGCTCTAGCCAAACCGTACCTTAACTAATCGTAGGTTTTTCAATAATTTTGATAAGAGTATTTGTTTTACACATGTGGCGGACCCCACCACGCGTATCACGGTGATCCCCGCGGTCGTCGTGGCCCACCTCAACAGTGGTCGTTCGCCGACCGCCACCAGTCTCTGTTCCCGCGTCTACGCCGCTGCACGCTTGCGCATGTCCGCGTCCCAATTAATATATATTGTGCTATGTATCAAACCACGTGTATAACTTTCTTTGTATAATAAACTTAACTTACAAACGTTCATTCTCGCCTCGTAGTTTTATTACGCGATAACCTTTTTCCCTGTTGTGGCCTATCGTCATTGTTGATAGGGGGAAATTACGGCAGTGCAGTAACCAAAGCCACAAATTGGTGACCTCGTGTTTTCTATTCGACTTCTTACATTTTTATAAACACATTATGTATTCCGGCGATCCTACACGCGACCTTCTCTCACTCGAGAATGAGAGTCAACCGCTGGCTAACGAGAACGCGAACCCGCCGCCCGATAACGTGTCAGTCGCGAGTTTCGCGCAAGTGCGTCTACCTAATTTTTGGCGGCATTCCCCACGCGAATGGTTATACCACGCCGAGGCCGTTTTCGTGAACCACCGGTTACGTTCCGACACCTCGAAAGCGAATTTCGTGATCGCCGCGTTAGATGAGGAAGGTATCAGGTCAGTTTGCTACCTCATCGGGCCCGGAGTTTGTTACGAGAGCCTAAAACAGCGCCTCATCTCCGCATTCGCGATACCCCAAACTACGCGCTTCCGCAGCATCGTCCAGCCAGGCGGTTTAGGCGATAGACGCCCATCACAATTGTTGCGCGACATGCGCTACATTCTTCCGGACAGTATCGGCGAGGACGCCCTTAAGCAATTTTGGCTGCAGAAATTGCCATCAACAACCGCCGCGATCATCTCCGGACAAGATGGGTCTTTAGAGGAACTCGCAGCACGCGCTGATCGAGTCATGGAGGCGACGTCCACTTACGATGTTCACGCGGTGAACATTTCCGAATCGTCAACCGACCGATTCCGCTCAATCGAGAACGCGATAGCAGCACTCACGGCACAAGTCGCTAGTTTGGCCACACTGCAGGCTAACAATTCTAATCACAGCCGCGCGAGATCACGCTCCAAATCACGATCTAACAATAAAAAAACAACGGCATGTGTTTTTATCACGATCGTTTCGGTGCGTCCGCTAATAAATGCATAGCGCCTTGCACTTTCAAGTCTCCGGAAAACTAATAGGCGCGGCAGAGGCGAGTCAGCCCACCGCCGCACTACGCAACCACCGTGTTTTCGTTTCCGATGTGCGTTCCGGTCGACGTTTCCTTATCGACTCGGGAGCCGACATCTCCGTCCTCCCGCCGTCCGCCGCCCAACACCCTACGTCCGACATCACACTCACCACTGCTAACGGCACTCGCATTCAAACCTACGGACAAAAAACGCTCAATCTCGATTTAGGGCTCACTCGGCCGTTTACGTGGACTTTTGAAATCGCTGATGTTACCCGAGGAATTATCGGGGCAGATTTCTTACATTATTACGGTCTGTTAGTCGACGTTCGCCGTAACAGGTTAGTCGATTTGAACTCGGTTTTGGCATCCAAAATCGCTACCGCGAATACAGTTCCGCCGACCATTTGCGTGGTCTCCCAGCCACGTTTATGGACCAACTTGATCGCAGATTTTTCTAAGGTCACGCGGGAATCCACCGTACCAACCGTTTTCACACACAACGTCGAACATGTTCTTTCGATCACCGGACCCCCTTTATTTTCGCGACCACGTCGCCTCGCACCCGACCGTCTCGGTGCAGCTCGGACGGAGTTCGATTTTATGCTTCGCGCAGGTATTTGCCGTCCATCGGACAGCGCGTGGGCCAGCCCTTTGCTACTTGTCAGCAAGAAAGATGGATCGTTTCGTCCTTGTGGTGACTACCGAAGGTTGAATGCAATCACCAAGGCGGACTGGTACCCTTACCACACATTTATGACTTCACCACCAATCTTCACGGTAAAACTATTTTTTCGAAACTTGATCTGGTGCGCGCGTACCATCAGATTCCCGTCGCACGCGACGACGTCGCTAAAACCGCCGTAACAACACCTTTCGGGTTGTATGAATTTCCGGTGATGTGCTTCGGGTTAAAGAACGCCGCTCAAACCTTCCAGCGTTTTGTAAACGACATTCTCCGCGGTTTAGATTTCGTGTTCGCATACATAGACGATGTTTTAATCGCGTCACAGCAGTGCTACCAGATTGGGCGGTTTATCGCCAATTGGGCTATCTTTAGTGACCAAACACCGCCAAAAATAATAGATTGGCGGGTTACCGCCAATTGGGCGATTTGACAATTTCAAATTGGCGTGTTTGGGCTTTTAGATTTAAACAATTGTACAATGAATAATTTTGACTTTTGTTAATTTTTTTTTTTTTTATTATTAACAAAAGTCAAAAATATTGTATTTAAACCACGGTTATCATTCTGTAACCGTGTCTAAAACCAAGGTTTATAGATAATATTAACAGTCTAAGCAGCTGGTGTCTAAAACATCAGGAGCTGCGGCTGCTATCATGGACTTGTATACCATTGATAATAAATTTTAATTGACAACTGACAAGTCACAAGTGATATCAAACATAAAACATTCTAAAAATTTTGTACCTATTGTCCTATTATTATTGTCGACGCCATATAACACTATATAGCCACCGACCGGCTCACCACACACACACAC